GATTGTTAGAAGGAGGCAATGTGAATTTGTAATTTCTTTTCAATAAAAAGAATAAAAATCAATCTCATAACTTAATTTAGGCACCTCGTGTATATATATATATATATATATATATATATATATATATATATATATATTTACAACTTTTCTTTAATCGACCTTGGAGTATTAAATTTTAACATAATCATTAAATTGGGAATAAGGTCACTTATTAATTATTTAATAAAAAACTAAGTGTTCATTGCTGTGTTTATTCGACGTTTCGATCCAGGTTTTTCATAAGTTAACAATGATCCGTGAGGGCAGGTTAACCGAATCGGCTAACACGTGAGCACAGCACCGCCGTTGCCCGGCAACCTGATATATCAATCAAATGATATAAAATAGTCACGAGTTCGCATACCGGTGCCGAGGGAGTCTTTTAAATTTCCGCCCACACTAAATGGCTCGGGAAATCCCCGTATAGCCTTAACGGCGAGGAAGGGGAGAACCCAAAAAAAAAAAAAGAAAAAAGAAGTTAACAATGATCCTCTTCAAAGTTTTAAAATAGAGCCTGGATACCTCAGGCCATAGACACACCGACAGTCTCAGCACCGTCCACCAGCACATATATTAAGCTACTTTAAGAGTAGCTATGAAGAGGATCCCATTATTAACTTATAAGAAACCGGGAACGAAACGTCGAATAAACAGAGAAGCAATGAACATTTAGAAGTTTATTGAATAATTAATAAGTGACCTTATTCCCAATTAAATAATTATATTAATATATATATATATATATATATATATATATATATATATATATATATATATATATATTTACTTTTATGAGAATACGTTCTTTACTACTACTACTTTTTACTACTATAAAATGAAAAGGTACAATAATATAAAAATGACATATCTAATATAATTATATTATTTTAATAAAAAATAATTTAATATACTCTATTTTTAAAGCAAATAGCACTAAAAAATCTTTACGTCCAACTCATTGATTAAGACTACAAAGTAAAATACATTTTTATTCCATTGAGTCAAAAATGTCAACGCTGCTCAATTGTGAGATAAATGTGAAAAAAAAAAAACAACGAAATATAATAAAATAAGGATGGGTAAGAAAAGAGTCCTGAAAGTTTATTTTTCAGGAAATTAAAATTACATGCTCTTTAACTTTTCCTTCATATAATTTTAAGCGGATTTTTGAGAAGGAAATTGCTGTGAGACCTTTTACTTATCATCCTGCTGGTGACAGTCTCTCCATTCTTTTTTCCCTCCAACTTTCCATTGGACATAAATGGGAAAGCTTTGTTTTAATTGAAAAAGTTCCCCTTTTGGTAAAAAAACTTGTTGAATTAAAACAACTTGAGATTTGCCCTGTCTTCCTGAAATATATTCCAAACTCTTTGTCTTTATGCATAACTGCAATACTCGTTAAATTTGTTTTATATTATTATCATTCCTTTCGCATAGTGTGTCGCATCGATCGAAACTTATAATTTAAATATGTACAACAATTTTCTTAGGTTCACTTCAGCTTTTACTAGACTCATTATTTAATTGTATTTCAATCGTGTTTATAATGGAGTCAATAAGTTCAAGTTGCCGATGTATATTTTGAAACAATTAATTTATGGGTTTTCGAACATCAAACGCATCCAATCCTTCCAGTCTAAAGTCCTCCGTATAATAGTCAATTCTCCTTATTATGTTACGAACAAAACCTTACAACACCTTAACATCCCATTTGTACTTGACATCATCCCATCCAGATTCACAAAATTTCACCAGAACCTTACTCATCATCCAAATCCTCTAATTTAATCTCTAACCAACTCCCACAATCCCTAAAATCCTCCTCGAAGGTTAAATCGGCAATTGCCCCGAGATCTCTTATGTCATCCCTTATGTCCTTGACGTATTCCATACCGATTTTCAAATTATCATCAGAACCTAATCCATCATCCTTATCCCTTAGCACAATCCGTATCCAGTTCCAGTCATCCCTACAATCCTCCTCGAAGGTTAAAGTGGCAATGGCATCGAGATCTTTTGTAAAGACGTCGTTGGAGTCCTTGTGATGGCCAGCTTCTCCACTCTAGTCATGAGCGTTTGTGGCTTTATTGCCCTATCATAGTCTCCAATGGCTTCCCATCCTAGTGATGCGGCTGAGAGAGAAGCGCTGGGATCTCTTTGAGTCTTGCCTTGTCCTCCACACGTGAGGGAGAAGGTCCGACTCGGAGTTCCCTCGGCTGACTATAAGTATTGTAAATAAGTATGAATGTGTTTTTATTTATTTTTTATTTAATGTCGTATCATGATCGATTTATTCTGTTACTCCAAGTTTTATTTTATTTTGTTATAATATTGTTTTTCTTTTATTGTATATATGGTATGTTTGTATTTCATTCATCCTAAATAATCAATGCCCTTAATTGAGGCAAAATGTATTTTATCTAAATGAAAAAAAAAAATTATGAGAATTCTATTTAGCTTCTATAATTGCTGCTAATATCCCTATTGATATAATTTTAATATTTTTGCGTGTATAAAATTAAGAAATATAGTATGTTTTTAGAAAAACAAAATGAAAATATACTTATTTTAAAGATTCCAGATGTTTAATGTCTTTTATGCATGACTTAAGTTTTTCAAAAGGTGCAATGATTGTTTGTTCCCTTCTGTTAAATATTATTCAAACCTAAAACCATTACAATTATATATATAATTGGCAGATCATCTATGAATATTATATAGTTCACTTATTTGAAGATACTCCCGAGTAATTGGAGTACTTGAAAGCATTCAGTGTTCGAACCACTCTCTGAAGATGACCCACATGTTTGGGTTGAAACGTTGGCACAAATTTAAAACAATATTTTTTTTTTTTTAAAAGACTGCGTCCTGAATATTTATCAACCTTAATATCTTCAAATAAGTTGTTTTATATAACATTCATTTTATGTTTCCTTCAGTTTATTTTGGGTGGCTTGGGGAGATTTCAATAGTACTTTTTTTTTCTTTCCTTCTTTCTGCATATATGTGATCTTTTTTCTAACCAGTTGATATCTGAATTGACGAAACGTTGACAAGTTTACTGTTCAACTGTAGGTTAGAAACTCATGGCTAGTTTGGATTGTTTCATTCATAATATCTCTTTTCTGATTGTGGTCTTATTTTAGTATTTGGTATTATATCGATAATTTGATTGAAAACTATCTTAAAAGGTAAGGTTTTTGCAAATAAACGAAGAAAAAACAAATATATTCCCAATTTTTTTATGTTCGGTTTTATATTAAAGATATTTAAACCAAAATATTAAATAACACTTTTAACTCATTCTTGTAAATGGTGTCGATTGGTTACCTTCTGTTAAATGGTATTCTAATCTGATAAAAACCTGAAATTGTTTTGAAATAAATCTTCGCTAAGTAATTAAATCTGCAACTCGAAAGTTCTTTAAATAGCACTTTCATAACTTTATATTATAAAAATTTTGATTTATCCTTGCCATTTGATAACGCCGACTAATCAATTCAAGATATTACGCGGTGAAAATGAAAAGGAAAGCGCAAAAGAAAATAATTCAAAGGATGGAAAATCGGTGACAAAGGGATGAGTCCCACGATTTATCACATATATTAATGAAAGGCCTCACAAAGGAATGATTTATCTACACAAGTTATATCAATGTCTGCGATCAATAGCAACTTGTGTAATATAACCGCAATGCCCTCAAAAATACTTTAAAAAGAATAATTATAATAGTGTAATAATTATTAAACTATTAATAAGTAATACCAAACATTAAATATTTATTAGTAATTCCACCTCTGAAAATGTTTATAACACATCTATAAAATTATAATTGTTTTTCGATAAAATTAAAGAGAAACTTTTTTTTTACTAACACATGTCAAAAGTACAGCAACTAGCGACAATTAGCGAGTCTGTTGAAGGGAAAATACAAATAGTGGCTTGTTTGACGTGAGGAAAAGGAGTCCCTCTTCCAGCTTGTTTTGAGCCTCCGAAGTGTGTTTTTGGGTTTGTTAATTGAGGCCATGTCTTCTATCAGTGTGTTAGTATGACCATGTAAGTTATTTTGAATTTTTTTGTAGTATATCCGTGTGGTCGTTAACTGTTAGCATACCTAAATCTTTATGTAAAGTAATGTTTGTGACGTACCATGGAGCGAAAGAGAAACTTAGATTTCATTAATAAATACAATTGTTTATACCGAAAATATATTAACAATACACAGAATTGTCATATTTAATTTTAATTGTAGTAGCTTTATATATTTCTTTATTACTTTTCTTAATATTTATTAATTTTTGTGGAAGTAATGTCTACTGAATGTAGCGTTATAGTAAAATTTCTGAGATACAGATACTAGATTTTTTTTTTTAAAGATTCATTAAAGTAAATATACCAATACTTGGTGGCTAATTCAAAAAAGTCTTTAAGTACATTTTCGAAAGAGCTGAACTTTCAAGTACGTTTTCGTGAATTTCGACCTTATTTATTTATTGAGTATTACAACAATCTGTCTCATCATTTATTTATAAATGTTGTTTGATTAATTCAAAATAAATAGATATTGATTGATTGATAGCTATTTGATTTGATATGCACTCAATTTTCTTATTTTCCAAGGAGAAAATTTATCAAAATTCCTGGTCATTTAACGTTTTGAAGTGTCACTTAATTTTTTTTTTTTTGACAATAAACTGATGAATAGTAAATTATTAACTGGAAAATGATTTTAACTTCTCACATTATTTACATATGAAACCTACTTATTTATTTATTTAGTTACAATTTAAGGTGTCATGTGCAAGAGCAAAGGTTAGAAGCATCTAGAGTTTATTAGCAAGAGTAGATTAATTATTAAATATAAACAAATTCTTATTGTTTCTATTTTTTTAATTTAAAAAAAAAAAGCCACAAAACTAGTCAATGACAGAATCAGTAAAAGGACTTAGAAAGCTGAGCCGATGGGTAAGGGCGTAAGTAGGGTGGGGCATCAACGGGGTGATAAAATTTTATTTGTTCTTGGATACGACGGGGGTGTTGTATAGTCATGTAAAAAGGACTTTGGTTTAAGTCTTAGTTATCAAATCTTTATATGTAGTCTGAAATCCAGTATAATGACTGGAACATTTTGTAAAAATTATTTATTGATAGTTTATTTTATTTTATTGTATTTATTTTTATTTTATTTTATTGTATTTATTATTATTAAGTTTCTGTATTATTATTTTTTTTTTATTGTAAATAGAGTGTGAGTATGCTTTCTCTGAACACTATTATAAATGTCCTTGAGGTGACAGAATGTAATATTTCTAAATAAACAAATATATTTATTGATAGAAGGCTAAATATTTTTAAATTATGAGTTTGAAAGTAATAATTATTGATAATAAATAAAAAGTTTGTTTAGGAAGTCTATAGTAATAAATAGAAACACTATAATTTGGTAAGAAACAATATTGCATAGAATTATTACTTCAAATTCCAATCAATCGATACTGGATACTATACGACAGGTCAGTAAGTAGTTTTGGTACCGCGGTATTCGGAGTTGATTTAGTATATTTTTATTTACTTTTTATTCAGATTTGTTTTTGAAAACCATAGTCTGCGTGAAATGTTTTAAAATATCGATTTGTAATACCCGCCTGCTAAAGAGTGTCGGTATTGTTCTTGCGAAGTGTTCCTACATTTTTATTTGATGGTTAAACGTAAATCAGTATATGGGTCGAAATATCCACTTTATCGCCTATGTAAAATTTTTTCCTAAATAACTATGAGGTTTGATGATGACATTATTTTTTTCAATTAAAAGTTCTTATTTAATTTAATGGAGGTATAAAGTATCAATCGGAAAATAGTTCATAAGAATCGATTCACCACAATGATTGATTCATTGCGAATCGGTTAAGTTAGGATAATCGATGAAGGAATGGAAAACCATCTTAATTAAAATCTTAATTAATTATTTTTTTATGTTTTTATTCATTCATGATGTTTACTTTTTTATTGATGATATTTTATGAAAAAAAAAAAATACATCCAGTAAATTTTCACGAAACTACCCATTGTTAGCGCTCAAATAATAAATTTACACAAGATGTACACGAGGCCAGTTTCTTTTCAGACAACTCGGAGGGCTATCAGGGATTGAGGAGGAAGTAAGGTTTGAAACGAGAGGGTTCGGATGGTTCTGAAGTTTTTTGTGGAAGGATAGGTATCTGGATTGGGCCAATTCGGAAACATTAAGGTCGTTATGGATGATTTTATTAGTGACAAAGTAAGTAGCATTGAGGATTTTACGAAGGATTTTGGCTTGGAGGGGTTGGATACGAGAGGAATTCGATGGTTTATTGGAGCCCCAAAACTCAATTCCCTAAATCCAAAAAGGTCTTATTATTGTCATATATATGAGTCTTTTGTAATTGATCGAAAGCTTAGAGCGTTTGTCTAGTAGGTATTGAAGGAGTCGGAAATGTAGAGCGGTTTCTTGTCATTTCATTCTTGTGTGAGGATTTCATCTGAGTTGTTTGTCCAGGTGGAGTTCTAAGTAACGGATTTTTTCAAGTGTGATAACTGGAGAATTGTCAAAGAATGTTGTAGGACAGGAAATTATAGGTTTGCGAAGCAGGGTAAAGGTAATTTGATGGGATTAATTGGAATTTATATTAATTCCATTTAAATTACAGTTTTTACACCATTCTTCAAGGTTTGTGATATGTGATTGGAGAGTTTGGTAAAACCTTAATTTAAAATACTTTTTTTTGTTTTTATTAAATCTCGATCTTTTAGCAGCTATTCTATCATGCCACCATTATAAAACATCCGATAGTAACTCTACCTCAATCAAGGATATCGTTGATAGAGAAAAGGGGGGTCTCTGGTGAATAATGAATAGAAATAAATAGGTTTTCTGGAATCCCTTACCTAAGAAAAACGATTAGTCAATAATCTAGCAATACCCACGTATGCATGTCTTAGTGTTGCTGTTTGGAAATGGTCTTTGTGACCCAATGGAATTATCATGTTTTCATAAGTTGTTTCACATTTGATAATTATCTATTTTGATTATTTTATCAAAATCTATTTGTACTTAAACAAATAAGAAATATCCATTTATTCATTCATTGTCTGAATAAATATGTTATGAAAAAAAAATGAAAATCAATTCTGCTGATTTTTAAGCTAAATTAAAGTTCTCATTTTCGTTATTTTTTTTCTTTTCAGAAAACGCGACCAAGTTCTGCTACGAATCCGGCATCTGGGACAACCGGACAGACTACGACCTCTGCCAGGAAAAGGCGGACATCCTGTCCACCCTCACCGCCGCCGACATAGAAATGACAACCGTCATCTACGCCATAGGATACGCTCTCTCCCTCATAGCCTTATCTGTTGCCCTCTTCATATTTATATATTTCAAGTAAGTCGAGACATTCTAACATTTAAACATTTTAAACAACGCTTTTACAAGATCTTTCAGTAAGAGCTATACAAAGAGATTAGAATCGCCAATATAGATCGCGTGCTGGTTACATGAACTTTTAAACTAAAATGTGTGGAAAATAAAGTGACTCATTACACTATGATACAGAGTGATATTAATAAATTGCCAAGAGATTTTTTATGGGGGAGGGGAGCAGGAGAGGAGGTTCTGCATCTCTCAAAGTTGGTTGGATGGGTTCCCTCACAATCGGCATTCGTAGATGCTGTTTCTTTCTTTTGTCATTCTGCTGGATGTGCTGTCATGACCTGGACCAATTCGTTAAGATGTACATATTAGAATATTGTTTAGGGTGACTGGAGTTTTATTGCCAACATGCTCGTAAACTGTTAGAATAGCCAAGTGAACGCCCCAGCTTTTACAATATAAAAATTCTCCTTCGAAAGATTCCCAAATTTCGTGTATCTGGGAACGCTTGTTACCTCATAAAATAACATACCTCTCGAAATCATCCGGCTGATCACTTCAGCCAACAGATTCTATTTTGGGCTCACAAGGCAGATGAAAAACCGCCTACTCTCCTAATCGCCTAATTTTTTGAAAGAAAAATATTGAGAAGAATATACGGAAGTAGAAACCATGCAGTCTACAGTTTGTACAGACATTGATGTACTACGGTTCATGAAGGTGGGCAGATTTTGTTTGGCAGGACATGTGGCACGCATGGCTGAAGCGAGGATACCAAGGAAAGTTATGAATGGGGTACTAGACCGAACAAGGGTAAGACCCAAGTTGAGATGGGTCGACGCTGTGTTCGCAGACTCGAGGACTATAATACACCTGAAACAGAACTGGAAGGCCGGAGACCGATCTGGATGGCGAAAGCTGTTAGAGGAAGTTCAGACCCACCCCGGGTTGTAGAAGTCATCGAAGTAAGAAAGTAGATGGCATTGCCTGCAATGTGGATTTTAATTTAACAATGTTCTTAAATTATGATTTTTCTGTAGTATAATGGGTCTAAATGTAATATAAAGGTCCAGAAAGGAAGCTACTCACGCGGTGGAGAAGAATTCTCCAAACAGGAACTATGGGACGTGTGTGAACATGGGCTGTAGATATTAGAAGTAGAGAGAAGTTGTCTGAGATCTATGCGAGACCGGATTTGGTCTCAATTTTGTGTGGAAACCAAATGGGATGGTAGTATCATCTGGCACGCATGGCCAGAGACTCATTTTTAAAGTGCCTAATCGAGGATCGACCTGATGGAAGAAGTGGCATAGAAAGGCCACGCTTGATGTGGATGGAGAAAATAGAGGACATCCTGAAAAAAAAAATTGGAATCCGGAGATGTCGATAGGGAGAAGTGGAAAAATATAATAAGCGAGGCGCAGGTCCTGGCAAGACCGTGGTGCCGAAAATAAATAAGTAGCAGTTCTGAAAGCTGATATGAAAAGTTTTTTTTTCATTATAAGTTGCTTTAGAGGTGTCTACGAAGAATATAAGTAATGAATGGCCTTTTGAAACTTGAAATAACGTTTAAGACATTAATGAATTGGTAATCAAGGTTTCATAATTCACTTTTTATTGTTATGACGTAACATTTTAATTATAATCTTAACTCTATTAGTGTATTTGTGTATTAGTGTATTGCAGTCCTGTACATCATTAAAAGTTTATGTCTTGGATGATGCGCTATTTCGTGCATGATTTTGCTTTTTTTAACAATTGACGAGACTCGAAACTACTTTTTATAACGGCAAAGTTGCTTACCTCTATTATTTCTCTTGGACCCCTTTACGATCTGTTTTTTTTTTTTCAGCTGCCAACCACTTCTTAGGCAGTAACATTAATCCATAAACTTTGTTTTACGAAATGTAATTTATTTTACAAAAGATTAATTGAACACTTTATTACACAAAATGTAGATTGGTTATAAACGTTATAAACGAGGAAAACCATAAATTTCAGGGAAAGTGAGGTTTTATTAAAAAGTTTTATAGTTCGTATAAAATTTTACAAGGCGCTTCTGTTGTAAACATAGGACGAAATTAACTCTTAAAGGTATAATTAAATAATTTTCACTAAAAATGTGAATATTCTTTCACTTGATAATAATATGCAAGAAAACAATTCTCTGGGGGTTTAGGTTAATTATTTTTGTAATGAGCTTGTATGTTCTGGTATTTTGCCATAGAGTTGTTATTATAGAAACTGTGTTATTCTTTAAATGTTGGCTTGTTTAAGTCAGTATATGAAACGGTCTTACTATAACATTAAGTTGTAGAAAGACAATTATTTTATAGAGTAATTAAAGACTATACATACAATGGAACCTTTATATATTTAACGTGAAGAATCCACGAAAAAAAAACTTATATTTAGAAAGTAATTTTTAAAATTTTATCCTAATAATAACAATTTTATGCTTTTTAAGGGTAAAGGAGTATCTAAGAAAATATTTTAGGGTATAACATTTCAATACTCTTCCATTGATTTTATGAAACTTGATGGATTTAAATCTTTTCCAAAACTTTCAAATGTTTTAATAACGGAATTTGTTAATGTTGTACTCGTCGTAATTTAATGTATTTTCTCCACATCTTTATTTATATCTCGCTTTGTTCGCTCCTTATTTACTCAAGAATTCTCTCAAGCCTAATTATTATTGTTCTGAAGCAAAATGTTCACTACAAAAAAATAAATAAAATTCATAGCACAGCAATAAAATACACTCCCGTTGGTGGCTACCAAATTAGTTTCTTTTTGGTAAGGTCTTCTCCGAATTCCATTATTGCTTCTTGAAATCTTGGCATTTTTTAAAACACAATTAAGTATTATATATTCCTAAGAATATGAAATAAGAGAAATTTTGGATAATAACCTTTTTAAAAATATTTAAAAAAAAGTAAGAGTTATTTATTTTTTAATGTCACATTTCGTTTGACATATGTATTTTTAGAAATTAAATTCTTACGTTGAATATATATTTTTAAAAAATAAAATTCAAGATTCCTAAAAAGTACGAAATAAAAATATACGAGTTAAACTTAAATATATAAAAGTTTCAGAAGATAAAATTCACTCATGTCCATTAAAATTGTGATGTATGAATTAAATTTTTAATAAATTGTTGGGATTAAAAGTAGCTTAGCATGACAATATTTAGTACCAACTTAAACCGAATAAAAAAACAAAACAGAGATACGGCAGTAATCATGATGACACGTTACAACATTTATTGGATTTTCAGAAAGAATTTTAATATAATCTCATCTTTTTCAGCAGCTATGAATCAATGACTATATATAATATTATATATATATATTATATATATATATATATATATATATATATATATATATATATATCTGATATATATATTTGAATATTGGAAAGTTCGGAATTTTCACTAAGTGTTTATAAGGCTTGATTTTACTTGAAAAGGAGAAATTAATAATATCTTTTTCTATAAAAATGGTTACCATTTTCCATTTTGTTTTTGACTGGAACATTTTCGCTGTTGTTAAGGTCGCTTCGCATAGATGCGTACGGTAAGTCTACAATGCACGACAATGAGTTGAATGTATTAAATTAAAAAAAAAAAAATATATATATATATATATATGTATATATATATATATATATATATATATATATATATATATATATATATATATATATATATATATATATATATATATATAATTCATTTATTGAAATTTACAAATGTATAAATAAATACAGCAAATATATTTTTATAAGGATACAAAACATGGAAGTAGCTTATGAAAAAGTTAACAATTGGTAAGACTTCAATGTATGAATATATTGCATTTTCAAAACTTTACCCACTTTGAAAGATCAATAATTGAGTTTTTGTTGGATTAAGAAAAATGTTGATAGATTTCGAGCATTACATAGCAATACCGTTTCTTAGAGAAGATATTTAGTGTAAATAAAAAAAAATGCTAAAATTCAATGGTTTTTGGAACACCGTGGCGAACCTGAAAGTCTTTCAAAATTGAAACCTTGGAATTTCCATATTCATAACACACATAACATTACACACACAATAAAATTGAATTACTCCACCTTTTTCCAGGTAAATTTTCTAGTTCGAATGGGCTATTTTTATACTTGAGGCTTAACATTTCTACGAGGGCGACGGTTTACCTCCACGTTGTTTCATATCTTACTTTAATGGCATATACACAATTTTTAATACGTTGAATTAATGCATCTCAAGTGAGTACTTTTACTTTATATACTTCATCCCTGAATCAGCCCTATAATCAATAATACAATACTGTGAGGTCTGAAGATTTCGGATGCCAACTGATTGGACTACTGCGACCAATCTAACAATCTGGAAATCTTTTTACACATTTCTTTAAGTCAAAAGTGGTATATTCGAACATTTATTAAAATAAGATAACCGAAATGCTAATACATATATATATATTTTTTTTTCCTACGCCTAATTAATGCCTGCTTGATCAGCCATGCGTAATCTTGCAGTTAAATATAATTTATCTCTCCTGTCATAAGAATTGTCCGTTTCATTAAAATCTCCTCTTAGCCCGCAATGGCCTGGTATCGAATGGAAATACGACTTGTATACCATTTTGTGCATAATATTTTGTGCATAACATGTGAATAAATGGTAGGCGTATTGAAGCCTGTTCTTTTTGGTTCTCAATATGTGTATTTAAGGAGAGTATTTTATCGAATTTCACTCCGAGACATGTAGCTTCTTCTGTGTGTTTGAGCTCCTCATCAATATACTTCAAATTTATCTCGTGTGATTTGGTGGAGAGCTGGTATTCCGTCTTTTCGGAATTAACACCCATCTCGTTTTCATCGGCCCAATTCTTTAGCTATTCCAGTACCTGTTTTTTTTTTTTTTTTTTTTAATTTTCAACCCTCCCCTGCCTGAAGGCAATACGGGTATTTGCAGCAGTGGAATGTAACTATTACATAACA